GCCTCTCAATCCGTCTGACCAATCGCTGCTCCTATGGCTCCGCCCCCCTCCGACGATTTTTGCGTCACTGGCTCCAAAAAGCCAAGATTTCAACCAGGAAGTAGAAAAACCCTGGCTTCATTTTTCTCAGTGCAGAAACCAACGGGTGACGTCACAGAAGCTACGTCTATCTTTTATACACTCTATGCTAATGACTCATACTGAAAATTGTGAGCTTTCATCAAACAGCGTGTCCGTGGCGGCCCTCTGAACCGCTCAGCCCACTCCTGTGATGCTGGCTGGCTGCAGCTAGCTCCTGCATGACTGAGGAGACACAGTGAGGACTGAGGATTGAATGGAGTCAGAGCTCCATCTAGTGGACAAATAGTGCAAGGACAGCATTCTGTAAAACTGAGCCACTTGACAACTACTATTTTATGAGAAAAGGGCTACAGCGAGGTGATTGTCACTTTGCCTGGAGTGCATTTCTGCCACACCCCAACGTGCGCGAAGGCCGAAATTCGTAAGGCGAGGACCCGGCCATCGTCGCTTGCGGCCGTAATTTAATTTGTTTTCACAAATAATTTAACTTCGTATGGACAACTGCACAACAAACTTCTTAAACTTTTTAACTGGTACTTGTGTATGTCTTGTGATGTCCCGTTTTTAGGCTTGGCTTAGTTTTCTTTTTCTCATGTTGTGCCCTCTTAAAGACATATAAGATAAACAGTGTACAATGTTGGATTTGTTTCTCTTGTTTAGGCAGAACACCCGCTGGGGATCATCCAACAGAGCTTTCACCCGCTGGCTCCCTGCTGACTACCAGGATGGCATCTCTAGACCAAGAGGTTGGACCCCAAATGAAAAAGTCAACGGATTTATTCTTCCATTGGTAATATACTTTAGAATATCATCTTTACTGGTTACAATGTAAATGAAACTTGTATTTATATAAATCCTTTGTACATGATTCTCATTGCACTTTCCTCTCAGGTCCGCGAAGTATCCAACCGTATCCTGGCAGGTAGCAATGACTTGGAGAGTGACCCCAACTTCACCCACCTGGTGACAATCTTTGGCCAGTGGACTGACCATGACCTGACCTTCACCCCTCACTCTCCCGTCATCCGCTCGTTCAGTGACGGGATTGACTGTGACGCCAGCTGTGCAAACACAGAGCCCTGCTTCCCCATCCCAGTCAGTATTATTACATTGTTCAAGAAAAGACATGTATGAGGGTACTTCAAAAAGTTCTCGGCCTCACCAGTAA